GACAAACACAGATAAGCAGACAGAGTGCAGGCAAAAAGAACAAGCAGAGCGATGGCAGCAGAGCAATGTTCGCTTACCTGGGGGCTCAGTTGCCTTGTGGTCGCCTGCGGTGTTCTAGATGGAGCCTCGTCTCAGCGATGCTAATGCGATGATACATCCGGTCAGCGAGACAGTAATTACCGTGTGTAGAGATGCACACGCGGATACCCTCACCTGGTTTAGCCCGCCGGTCGAAGCGGTTACCGGGGTGTGGCCATTAGGCAGAGACTATCTTCGGGGAGCCACATGTGAGAGTTGTGTCAGCAAATGGACGTTAGGCGTAGTCTTTACCTTCAGGCAAGTGAACGACCTACTACTTCCGTCACGTGAACCCACCGCTGGACACCCCTACACCTCACACACGCGCACGCCCACACACAATACTAAAAGCTACGAACTCTGGGACGTTTGTACGATAATGTTGTTATAATTAACTGAGATAAGGGCAAATTAGACAACTTGTGGACTACAGAAAAGCAAACATTGTGCCACAACTTTACGATACTTTCGTAGTCGAGATGTGTTTTAAAGGAAACCAACAGCTTTAAATTCCATAACTTCGAGCACGAGCTCCCACACTTTTGAGGCCAGACTGAGAGAACATGATCTGAATATGCTCAAAGAAAGCGGAGACATTGCCAACCAGACGTCCGCATTTGAGGATATGGAAAATTACGCAGTACTTACGGGAACATCACACGACAAACATTTCTCGGGTAGGAACACTTCACGTAGCTCCGTTTAATCTCAGAACTACAACTTTGAGTAATCATTTTACACCAAAGAAAATGTAAGATGCGTGAGCGTGTTGGAGAGAAGCGAGACACCCAACCTTCGCGCGCAAACTGAAATAGGAAACTCTGCGGAAACTTTGGGGAGGTACCAGGATGAGATATGGTTATGTAGCTGCACCTGATGGACACAATACCGTTGAGGTTAGGGTTAGGGGTTAAATTTCAGGTTAGGGTTAGTGGTTATGGTTAGGTGTTAGGGTCACTATTTTTCAACCACTCAACGTACGACCGTGCATTCCCAATAGATTTTCTTTTGCATGCAATTACTTGGCTTCGTCGTCTGTGCGTTCCCCGCCTCACCTGTAAAAACCTCTATTACCACCGGTGCCATATTACAGGTGGCTGGAGTTTGCTTATCTCAGGTGCGACTACCGAACCATGTTTGACCGGTAACAGGATGAAAGACGCTAGTGTGCACATACGCTTTCTAACTCAATACTAATGAGGGGTCACTCGGTATAAATGAGAAAAAAGGTAGTAGTTTCTTACGATATTGCATGCACATGAATGTATAGGACATCTGTCGACACATAAAATGACATGTCCTGAACAACCCAACTGTAGGACGAAAGTAGACAATTCCGCTTTGCCCCAGAACTGAGGGTCTGCAGCCCACGTGGGCGGTCACAGAGTGGCAAGCAATCAGCAACTGGGACATGTTTACCGACAAAGCCAGGAATGGCGAAATAATCATTTGGTGTTTATTTGTCTTCATTAGTCAGTGGTATGACTGTCTTGTTTATATGCTAGGCTTTGTTCTTAACCATTTTCGAAATCCTTCTGTAGTCACTTTCGCTAACTCCTAATCATGTTTCCGCGAAAAATATTTCATAAGGCATCCTTTTGACAGATATCTTTGTCAGGGATTCTAAGAAACTATTCAAAGGTTAACGACCTAGTCATTCATGTCCACTCTTGAGTTTCACACAAATAAAACTGCCCGAAATAGGCTCAAAATATTCGTCCGTTTCAGAATACACTGCATGTTCCACTTAGATATGTTGAAATTAGGGCTGAAAGGAATAATTTTTTCGTCAACTGCTGTTTTCCCTTTTACTAATATTCTAGGTTTTATAGTAATTATTGTGCGCTTTAGTTTGTGACACATATTGTCGTGTACTTTGGCATATACAAGTGAAAATCGAGTTCCGGGAAGCATCCGGTGATGCCCAATAACTTGAACAATTTTTCATTGGTTTAGCGTTTCATATTTGCTCATAAAGCCCTCACAAGAATCAACAACAGGTGAGATAACGGAGGTATAGGATGCAGTCACACCATGACCATGATTTCCAACAGTAACCGCTTTCGCATAATTGAGGGAAGTTTTAGGCGAATCGACGATTACTTAATCGGCTTCGTCAAACGCTAACACCTGTGAAAAATGTGGGGACTACAGGGGTTAGCAAGTGTTGTTGCGGAGTAACTGCACCCCATAAATACTGTACTCCCTGTGCATATGTTGCTCGCCCTATTGACAAGTTTAGACTCGAGAGAGAATCCGAAACGTCGGGCGGTTACCGGTTACTGTGCCGCCTCTTTCTCATTTGCACGACCTGTCATAAGGTTAAGCATGTGGAGCAAAGCAACAAGACAGTCTGAATCGCTTGCAACAATGTGGTGTTGCGTGGTGTCTTAGTCTCAATTGTAACAAATGCCAACTTATCCGATTACAATCGAGCAACAGGAGGCCGTTGAGATCTGAATATCACTATTTTATCGGAGGTCACCAACTCGAATCAGTCAACAAGTTAAAAGACCTCGGTGTGTGGATGACGTGAACTCTCAAACCATCGTCTCACTGCGCCAAGGTATCAAAGAAGGCTACGGGTATCCTAGGCGCGATTACAAGATCCTTTCTCAATTTTGGCGAAGAAGTTTTCCGTCGAGTTTTTGGAGCATACGTTCGACCAATGTTGGAATATCGTTCTCAGGCATGGTGTCCCTGGACGAAACAAGATTACACCCTACTGGGGAACGTACAACGAACAGCGACCAAGCTAGTCGGCGGATTAAGTAGCTTACCTTATGAGAGGCGCCTGGAAAAGCTAAAAATATTTCCTCTCTCTTATAGACAGTACAGAGGGGATATGATCCTGGCCTTCAGGATCGTCAGTGGGCTAGACTGTGCTCTTCAGTTTGACGATTTCTTCGAACTGGCACAGACGACCAGTCTTCGAGGGCACCAATATAAATTGAAGTTAAAATATGCCAAAGTCGAATTGCGGGCCAATTTCCTCTCCCACCGGCTGGATGGGACAAATTGCCGTTGTCTTAGCGGAAAACGTTGGGACCTTCAAAGGAATATAGATAAATATATGCTTTATGGTCAAACATTTACACGATATCAATGACTGGCATAAATGTTACGTAGATATCTGCATGTTTTTTATACATCTATCTGCGAATAGGGTTTTCCGAGACTCTGCCTATATCCCTCACAGATACTGAATTTTACTGAACTGAATTATTCATCCACATTGGTTTTTAAACGAGTAAATTCCACGAACTTGGAAGTACTTAATATTAATTTTTGTTCGCAGGTTGGAAAAAGATGACGATGAAACAAAAACTCATGTTCTACTTTAGGACTGTCGGTGTCTTACCATCCTAAAAATAAAATGATATCTTCCTTTTCCGACCTATTCAAAGTTCCGTCCTTGTTTGAAAGCGTTCATTCCCCGTTTAGGCATGTTGGTTAGCAGTTCAGTCGATAGTTCCCCCCTACATTTTGGGTTGCTTTAGTTTTGATGTATTTCTTTGGCTAACGACGAGGCCCTGCTCCGGAAATAATACAGAACTTGGCTCGAACCTGACGACAGTCCCCTTTCGTGCCTACCTTTATCCCACTATTCCGTTCTCGGTTATTTTTCATGGTCTAATTTACTCCGCTTTGATCTGGCTTCCTTTCCGACCCGGAGCCTTTATGTTTGCATAATTCTGATAAGCTGTCAGGCGCTCCTCATGGAATTTTCTAAACCTACAGCCAAACAATGGGTAGGGATTCTGGAGGATTCAGCTCCGCGTGTCGAATGTATATCATCATCGATCTTAAATAACTGTAATAAACATGCTGAACTAACAAATGTAGGTATCTAGAACACAACCGCGTGCCACTATGTCTTCATTGAATCATATTTATGCATATAATCGCGGAAGGACACAACGATATCCAGAAGTACTTACATTTGTGGCTGTAGATGTGTCCTTGAAACCGAATGCCAATTTGATTTAAGGGTTGTTTGTTCAAACGCATCTCTTACTATCCTATTTATTTACAGCGCCATATTTGAGCATGATTCCAGGAAACTACAGATTTTTCCGACAGAAACAAAAGTAAATCCATAATTTGTATTGTTAGTGTAGGAAGAGAAAGAAATCTAAAAAACGTTCTGAAGCGTCTCGAGTGGAAACCAGTGACAGCCAGACTTTCTTCACTAACGAGAAACCATCCAAATCTCAAATACCTTATAAAACTGTACTTTGATTATTTTTTTATTTTTGCTGGACAAAAATCGCATTTTAAATGATTTTTATTGCCGCAAAGACGGATGTACTTGCAATGTTTGTGAACTTCGCAATCTGGCGGCCAAGCAACTCGGTAGTCATGAATATGTAGTCCAGCAGATTCGAAGGCACACTTTTACGTATCATGACTCTGACGTAGTGCATAATTTCAAGCCCTTCAATAAGACCGTTTTTTCGTGCTTAAGAAGGTGAGTCAGAATTCCTTAAGGGGCGACTTTTTTTTCTAGAGTTCCTAATGGGCCGATATTTCGATCGTTGACGGGATCAAGAAACAAAAAAATAATTTATGAATGCGAAATGCTTCCAAGACAAAGTGCTCTCCTCCCTCAAACGGTGAGTTTTTTTTCTATCGGATCGGAAATATATTCCTCGTTGGAGGTTAAAATATCGAACGTGACTACTCATCTTTATAAATTGCAGATCATTGTGCGCGGCTCTGCAGATCTAACTGGTATTCAATTGTTACAGACAGCCTAGACCGCGGCAAAACGTCCGTTGTGCTCAAGCCGTCTCCGGGATCTTTTCCAGACTACGCACGCAACTAGGGATAGGAGTCTTCCTTACATATGACTAAGCGTGTTAGCGAATGAGACCAGGAAGGAAGCCCATCTATAACCAAAACTAGTGTTTCGTTTTCTAATGATTTCAACCAACCCATCTGCCGTGCGAGATTATGAGATCTATTTCCAGGACTCCCGAACCGGAAGATAGCCTGCTGGATTTGCCAAGCGAAATGTCAGAATTGAATTACGTCCTCTCCGGCGCCAACTATTTTAAAGAACGCAGATCTCGACTTTCGACAAGGATTTCTGCTTTAGTCGGGGTCTTGCGTGGACATATCTCTTCTCAAATACCTCCCTGAACAAGATTTTTGCCAAAATATAATGAAGGATTGTGGCCTAGGTTTTTGTTGATTAACTTAGTACACTCGTGAAGCTGGATGGCGGTAGTCGTAAACATGCATCGCTGCTCCAACTATTTGCTAGGAGATTATTGAGGACTTTCGCTCCATATCCAGGTCTTCGACATAGAAAAGAAGTGCAAGAGCCATGGAAGACGAGATACGGAAGCCTTTTGAGTTTTAGTTTTAGAGCATCATTCCTGGTGAAATAAGTTGTTACGCTGTCGTCAGTACCGTTGGTTGGTGCGGCGTGCAAGCTTAGTTTATTGCCTTAAAAGTTGCGGAATTTATCTCACAAAGGCTTGTGTTGGGGTCAGAGTCCCCTTTGGGCTCCTTTACTGTGTGTTTTATAACAAAACCTTTGTGAGGGGAATATTTTTATGTATTCTACAAACCAAACTAAATTGCCTCTGAATTTAAAACTTAGTCGTTTGGAATAGTGTGAGTTTGTATAGAGTCCACATCTGGAAGAAGGCCGTGATCTTCATTGTCCTATTCTTAAGAGGAAACGTTATTTACCGGAAGATGAATTACTGTGACATGGTCAGTGCCGTAATAATGTGATTCGATTTTAAAATGAGAATTCGAATATAAGGAATGCGTTAAATATGAAATTCCAAAACAGCCAAAATATCCCATTCTGAAGCACCAAAATCGCAGCAAAAAAATTAATTTTTTAATAACCTCAATCGCCAAATGACACATTAGAGTCTGCTTTTCTGAGATAAATATGCAATATCTATTGGTACAACCAGACCTATGAATTAGCACGAATACTTTTACATTCTTCGAAAACAGTACATAAAATTGGAGTCAAAGAACATTCGGCGGTACACCAAAAATGGTTACATGAATGTCCGGCTCATAGTCTAAAACAGACAATGGTGAGTAATATTGAAACATTTTGACAGAATCTCTGCTGAAGCTCAGTAAAATATTTAAGCAGACCGGAGATTCGTTCCTAATTATTGGAACTAGGTTAATGGCAACACATTTTTCAGAGAATATGCATTTCTTCTATTTCAAATATACTTAGTTCAGACTTTGAACAGAGATTCATCTGGTGTGCTATTCATGATAATTGGATTATATGAATTTTTATAATATTGCGTTCATTATGAATAAGCAAACGGTTCGTTACCTGATATTTTAATATTTGACATTTTAGAATAAGTCTCCAGTAGCGCACTCTTCAGTCTGGCCGACAAGCTCTCCGGAATCCACGGATTTTTTGTCGGGGGTTTCACTAATAAAAATACCTGATCTGCTTCAAAAGGGGAAGAAAACGCGTTTTTCGTCATCGCGAAGGTGTAAAAAGGCGTTTCTTCATCTGTTTTCTGATCCACTTGAGGTGAGACACCGTCTTGATGTAAATATTGGGACCTTTTAAACCCTTGAGGAAAAATGAGTGGGCAAATCTTGAAACAATTAACTTATTTCAGTACATTTCAAAATGCCGATTAGAAAAATTTATTTTGTGCTAGTTAAATTGGCAACCGTATGCTATATGATAGTATAAGGATAAAAAATAAAAAGATGTAGCATAATCTAACCATAAAGCGGAAAATTAGGTTTGTAACTAGCCCCTTAATCAGGAAATGTTTTGCAAAACAGTCGTTATGGGGGTTTGTATGAGGTTACGAAACATTTACTACTGACCTAAATGCTCAGCTATCCGTCATTAGTGCGATCGTAAACCCGAGCTAGTTATTCACATTAGTTCGTACTGACATTCTGAGGGGTCATTTGCATAGTTCTAGTTGGAAGACTCATTTACGGAGTGAAGAATTAAAGCTAGTTTTATGGCTTGGAATTTTTTATTTCTAAAATCAGGGGAAAAGTTAAATAACTTGCATTTTATTAACTAGCCTGAGGGAACAAGGCTAAAAACCCTGCAGGACAAATCAAGTGCACTATGACTATGTATCTGTTACTTGGGCTGAAAACGGGATATTGTTGAAAATTACCATGATTATAAACGTGTTGACTAGCACAATAACCTTCTGAGCATACATTTACATGAAAGAATTTGTGTGAGAATTCAAAACAAGAGGATTGTGCAAGTCTATCGGGTTTTCTCTGTATCACAAACGCCTCCGAAGGAAAAATAGAAACGACCACTTCGTGTCATTAACTTGTCCTTACAGAAAAAGTCTGCTCCCCATGAAACTTACCTGTTTAACTGGACAATACCTGTTACAAAAGCAGTATTGATTTTGCCAACTAAGATGGTTACACTTTGACGAACGTTTTCTCGCTTGTTGATTGACATTTCTAGCATTTTATATGGTTTTGTTAAAAAGTTCATTAGTTTCTGAAGACGATTATAGCTCTAATTTGGTCAAAATGGCTATTGCAACCAAACACCTTAATTTATATAACACAGCGGGTCACCTATATGGGTAGGGAAAACTCACCCCATTGTACTCCTCATAATACAAATTATCTAACTACAAATGAGCTGAAATAGGGAAACTATTGTTAGGCGAACTTCCATTAAAGTAATTTCTCGTTTTAGCTGAAATATCTTCTAAAGTTTCGCAAAGCGTCACCGGGAGTCGACTGGCAGGTCAGCCATGGTCCAGGGGGGTTTGCTGAAGCGCCCCTCTTTCCGGCAGCCGTTTTCCTGCTTTTAAACTGCAATTTATTCGAACTAAATTCGGAAAGCAAGGAGCCTCTTGCTGCTTCGGCCTATCTGGTGGATGCCAAATGCGGGTGTCGTCTCTCAGAAAGCCTAACCATTTGCTCATTTCCTCAGCCAGCGAAAACCGCAACTGGTGTTCCCTCCTATGGGGCTCTTTTCCGAATAAGCCCACCCCTGGAGTCCGAGGAGAACACTGACGGTGATGTGCTTATCACGGATATGCAGGCGGTTTTTAACACGGAACAGGCACAAAAACTGGACGGCGTACGTCACTGCGTGAACACCAACGGAGGTTACTCCTGTTCGTGCAGAAGGCTTTTAGTTCAATTTGCTGGGGTGTTTTTGGTCATTCAGGTAACGGAGTTACCCAAAAGCTTCGATGTTTCACCTTAAAATGTTGTTCAATATTTTTTGTAAAACGATGCTTTATTAAAAAACAAGGCAAGATGGTTTTTAGTGGATACAAAGACATCAATTTGTTCTGGATTCTAATATTATAACCATACTCCGTGTTTAGCAGTAATTACCATTATGGATTTGTACACCAATTCTCTCA